TGGTATGAACAGGAAATGTTTATTAAATGCGACTAGTTTCGAAATCAAGTATACTCTAGCTAAGATTATCAATCATTGTAAATAAAATATCAATGTCTTCGTGGACAGGCTTTGAACTCACGTTTTTGAAGGTTACATGTGAGCTCCATGAATACGAGATGGGTTGTTCCAGACAGACAAATGCAAATTTGGATGCCTTTTTCCCAAATTTCACCTCATTGTGCAAACCAAGATTCTCGAGGAGAACATCTTTGGCCGACAACTTTCAAGAAACAGTACATTGGGATAGTTGTTGAGACTCCCCTGAACAGAGTAACAAGATTATCCCTACATGTACAAAATATACCTGAGTTGAGTTTGTGCTGCTTCCACTGTTTTCACCGGCTTTTCGGCCTCAGCTCGAGCAGAGCCATAGAAATACATGGTACAGTGGTGCACGTCGTAGCAACATAGAAAGTTCTGTGACGTAGCTCCGCCCCGAGAATACCATGGTTTTACTGATGACAATTATACAGGTTTCTTAAATATTTCCCATGTTTGATCCCAACTTCTTCTTCATTTCGCATCTAAATAACATCTCATATACTGGTATGTTCTTGTCTATGTCAATATTATGAATATATATTATTTGCCTATGGTTACGGCTATGTCTATGGTATTTTTTTTAAATCTTAAATGACAGTTCATAGTTCATTGTAGTAGCTGAAAATGCGTTTCACTTGACTTAACTTGTCATTCAGACATTCTTACTAGAGTCCCGGGATACAAGTTAATTAGTAGCAGACAGTAGCATTTTTTATATGTCTTTATATACATGGTACAAATACTGAAGAGTTTATTTTTAATTGGTTCGTGTGATATGAAACGTTTTCCAACCCTAAATATTGATCGTTAGTGCGGGAAGGATGCTGTTTATCGAGTTTAAATGGGTAGTGTCAGCAACTTGTATGAACCTAGATTCCTGTCAATACTGAGTGTCGAATTAGTTGACCTCGACAGTATACCCCTGTAAACGATATAAGAGCGGCCCCGACAAGCCATATATTTTTATCTGAGAGTCTGATTTATCGATGTGACAATAAACGTTGTCCTCGTGTTGATTGTCATGCGAGTGGTCCTTTGTTATACACACTGAATGCACCCTCGTCGTTTATTCGCTTCACTGCTCATTTTGTCAAGAGGATGGGTGTTTTTAAACACACCCTAATAAAACGAACTCTATCAACCGACTGTAAACTATTAAAAACTATTAATTAGAAAATATTAATTATTCAACACCGCAAATTGTTTCCAACTATATGGTTGTATTTTGTAAGCAGTTCAAAATTGTTAATTACTCATTTGCATACTTTTCATTTGCATAAGCTTCGTTCATTTGTTTCATTTCTCCACTGCGCGTGATTATTGTAGCCATTTGCTTCGTTCTGTTTACATGCACTGTTTACATCGCATGCTGTTTGTGCCCAGTTATTTCTGTTCGGATTATTTTATTTTTCCTTTCTCGCTATGCCAAGAAGTAAGCGTCGATCAACATGCTCTGTCTGCCAGCTCGATGTGGAAGCCCACACTTAAGGCAAGCCCGGATAATTCTGCACCAGTCCACCGCCAGAGGAAGAGAATTGCCGTTCATCGAGTAGCTCAACTACCGTTCCTAAGCCGTCTCCTTCCATCCCAAAGCTCTGACGTCATTCGCTCACAGTTTCACACGTGGAACCACTCATTTTTTCTCGTGGTCACGCTAGCTCGCTTTTCTATTGTTTTATCACGTTTTGTTTTTGTTTGTTTTTTTGAGTGCTCTGTATCTATTTGTCACAGTTCTGTTTGTAGATTATTTGCTTATTTTGTTTTTTCCCCTTAAAGCTTTTTGCCTTTTAGTGCTGTAGTTTGCTGTATACAAGAAATTTAATTTTAGATTCAACAGAATAAAAATAACTTTCTATTTTATTTTGTCGCCAATTCGTTTTTTTGTTGTTTTTTGTTGGCCACTGAATAATTATAAATACCAATTATAATAGCAGTAGTGCTATTTTTACATGCAAAAACTATTTTGGTAAAAGTGTAACAAGAATTATTGTAAATTGTACACCAAAAGCAAATAAATTAAAAATAATTTAAGTAAGTACAATTCTTGAGGATAATGATCTGTCAGACTGCGAAAGTAATGTTCCAGCACTAAAAAATAAATGGATAAGGCAGCTTAACGAAAATGTGTTTGTGTTGTTTTTTTGAGTCATTTGGGAACAATATGTTTTTCAATGCCAGCTGATATATGTATTTGGTTAAAAACAAAAGTTTTAATTTATATTATTATCAATTATTCGGTTATATCGATAGTTTGCTTTTTTGTCAAAAATCATAATGTTAGTGATTATATTCCAGATTTTCCTCGTAAATCGTACCATACCTGCACAGTACTATTCCACCACAAAGTGTATTTTCTTTTACTCTGTTGTTCTCGTTTGTATTTCATTAAATCAACAGCTACAGGTGGTGAAACACCGAGTGCCAACACAACTGTTCCTACACAATATGGAAAACCACCGCCATATATACTAGGTAAGTCTTCGTTTGAAATCCACGTGGTGTATATCATCCTAATACAACACGTGGTGAAAATAGATAGATCTACCGCACTTTCAATACTTTCATTGGGTTTGGCATATCTTCGCCGTTCTGTTCACCGGGATATGTGTATTATTGTATGGTTTGACTAATAGTAAACGTATGAGTATTAAGAGTATAACAGAAATACATCGTAATGTATTTGGTCCGTAGCACTACCATGAATTGGGCGAGTTTTACTAGTTTTATAGTCGTTTTGTTTAGTGCAAATGAGCAATGTGCCGATGATCAGGAAAACACGACTCGGGTGTTTTGTCATGAATTTGTTTTCGCGTATCTGTTGACCGACTTAATTAGTTGATTACGAGCGAATTGCTGTGTTATGTCTGTCATCGTTAAGGTCTATTTGAAGTTTTGGACGGAACTTTGCTCAGTGATTTGGAACTAATTACAAGATACCGTCGCTATTCTGACATCCGTAGTTATTAATGTAGTGAACGATTAATCAAAAGATATGACGTATTCAGTACTTAGTGTGATTGGCTTTATGATTGAAGGTTACGCCCTAGAGTCTTTTTACTGCATTGTAATTGGTTAGAGTTTTGAAAATGAATAAAGAGAGTTTGAGTTGGTCTTGGCGAATACTCCACGACAGACGCAGTCAGTCCGAGAGAGTCCAGGGGCGAGCCTTGAGGCAGTCCAGTCTTGGGCTAGTCTTGGGTCAGCCTTGCGAGAGTCTTGGGGATTTTTTCCCCAGGGCGCTGTGTCTTATAGAGTGCTCGATTGATCGACTAAGACGAAAGCTGAAACGTATTTCGTTGTGTGTGCCTTATTTGACTGTAAAGTTAAAGTGACTTTCCCGATCCCGTACCTCAAGGGGACGAGATAGAGAGACGAGACGAGTTTCCCCCCTGACAAGTGTGGAGACCCAGAAAGAGAAGAGGTTTTACCCCTGATAGTTTCATCTATGAATATAGACGTTTGCACAGTCAGCTGAGTATGTGATAAGCTTGTAAGAATGTATATTGTGTATAATATTTATGTATAGGGAACGTGGGTTGGATAACATGGGGAGAATGTTCTTCCTGTGATGTGAAAAACTGAGATAAATTATCTATGGAGGCGGTTATTCCGACGAACAAGTTTATAATTGCGATGAAATTGGTTTATTTTGGAAGCTGTTGCCGTCGAAGTCGCAAGCAACAGCAAACGAACACAAACACAATAAACAAAGCATCACTGCAATGATCGTGATGTGTTTTAATAAAGAAGACACACTATAAATAAACCCATGGGTGTATATGTGTTTTTTATGGTAAGTCGCGGTTTTTGATTTGGATCCCGACACCCGCGACTTAGCGAGGGCCACTGTATATCGCAAATTGAGCATAGACAGTTAAACCAACAAAAAATATGTAAAATAAAAAAAGACAAATTATGATTCGAACATCTCAATCACCGATATTCAAAATGTATCTGCGACTATAAAAATAATGGAAATAAAGAGTGCATATTCAACTATTCCTGTAGGTGAATCTGGCTGGATAACATGGGGATCATGGTCATCTTGTGATGTCACATGTGGTGGCGGGAGCCGTGTGCGTTCACGTGTATGTTATACTACTGACCCAAGTCAAACATGTCATGGCAAGAGTGAACACATCTCATCTTGCGCAGAATGGAACTGTCCAGGTAAATATTACTCTTCAATTTCAACTTAACAGGACATTTATGTGTTTCTATCACGCACCAGTATATATCTTTTGTCTGCGAGTTGTAATAACACTTACTGTATGTTTGTGTACAGACTGTAACCAGGGATGTCAGCATGGAGTTCTCAACAGTGAATGTTTATTTTGTGAGTGTCAAAATGACGTCATATCTGGTACGACGAAAGACATCGCAGGAAGGCCACTGGAAGGTGTATCGATTTACAGAGCTGAATATCCCGTCGATCGTATAGCAGTGACTGCTGCAACAGGTTACTTTGAAGTCGTGGGAGTCTGCAGCGCTGATTACACTCTGATGATAAAATCCAACAGTTTTGTTGATGCTATTGTCTCCAAGACAAACACAGATAGAAAACGGAGATCGGACGAAAGCAGTGTTCACCTTAACATCACTTTGGAACGTGAAGGTTAGTAATAACACAGTTGTATTTCTACGAATATATCTTTGCCACGACGCGATTTTAAGCTTGTCGTTGATTGATTTTTCAGAGTGTTACTACACCCACCAAGACATTGCCATGCCGGTGTTCGATTTTCGAACCCGACGAAAATGCATGCGATGTTTGTAGATTTTATTTTCTACTACATACAAAAAAATATGAACTGTTGGACTAAGTTTATTTCATCTGGAAGCCTTTAATGTGTATTGTCTTATATCCCCTTTTAGCGCCATAACTTTCCCAAGAAACTCGAGTTTCCTGTGTCATTTGTCTCATTGTTTTGAATGTTCTTTTCAGTTCCTCCTGTGATTGTTAAACATCCACGAAACAAAGTACGTACAGTTGGTCAGAGTGTGAGACTTTGTTGTGCAGCTAACGGAAAGCCGAGCCCAGACTATTATGAATGGTTTGTAAAAAATGTACTCGTATATTTGGTATTGTGACGTTAAATGCGGGGGGGGGGCCTTTATGGGGCTTCACCGTATTCAGGATCGGGGAGCTTGTTTTCAATACCGGTCTAATAGTCTTTGTCTTTGGTAGCGTGCTTATCTAATAACTCTCCTCCCTCTCAGCTCGTCCGCTGTCACGGGGTGGGGATCGTTTGGTGAATGTATATCACCACAACTGAGACTGTG